TTGTCATCGTTGTCGCTATTGTCACTGCTGTTACTGTTGTCGATGTTGTCACCGTTGTTGCTGTCGTCACCGTTGTCACTGTTGTCACTGTTGTTGCTGTTGTCAGCGTTGACGCTGTTGTCACTATTGTTGCTGTAGTCACCGCTGTCGCTGTTCTTACTGTTGTCACGGTTGTCACGGTTGTCACGGTTGTCGCTGTTGTAACTGTTGCCGCCGTTGTCACTGTTGTCACTGTTGTCACAGTTGTTGCTGTTATCACCGTTGTCCCTGTTGTCACCGCTGTCACTCTTGTCTCCGTTCTTACCGCTGTCGGTGTTGTCACTGTTGTCACAGTTGTCGCTGTTGTCATTGTTGTCGCTGTTGTCGATGTTGTCGCTGCTGTCACTGTTGTTGCTGTTCTTACGGGGTTCACTGTTTTCACTATTGTTGCTGTTGTAACCATTGTCGCTGTGGTCACTGTTGTCACCGTTGTTGCTGTTGTCACGGTTGTCACTGTTGTTGTTCTTGAAACCGTTGTCGTTTTAAACACTTTTAATGCTGTTGTCACCATTGTCACTGTTGTCGCTGTTGTAACTGTTGTCACCGTTGTCACTGTTGTCGTTGTTGTCACTGTTGTCGCTGTTGTCACAGTTGTCACAGTTGTAGTTGTTGTCAAAGGTGTCATTCCTGTCACTGTTGATACTGTTGTCACAGTTGTCACTGTTGTTGCTGTTAACACCTTTGTCACTGTTGTCGCTGTTGTCACGGTTGTCATTGTTGTCGCTCTTGTAACAGTTGTCACCGTTGGTTCTGTTGTAACTGTTGTAACTGTTGTCACTGTTGACACTGTTGTCGCAGTTCTCACTGTGGTCACTGTTGTCACTGTCCCTAGCGTTGTCGCTGTTTTCACTGTTGTCGCTGTTGTCACGGTTGTCGCTGTTAAAACCGTTGTCGCTGTTGTCACTGTTTTTACAGTTGTCACTTTTGTCACTGTTGTGGCCATTGTCATGGTTGTCACTGTTGTCGCTCTTGTCACAGTTTTCACAGTTGTTGCTGTTGTAACCGTTCTTGCTGTTATCACTGTTGACACTGTTGTCGCAGTTGTCACTGTGGTCACTGTTGTCACTGTTGTCACCGTTGTCGCTGTTGTCACAGTTGTCAGTATTATCACTATTGTTGCTGTTGTAATCGTTGCCGTTGTTAACACTTTTATTGTTGTTGTCACTGTTGTCACTGTGTTCGCCGTTGTCACTGTTGTCGCTGTTTTCACAGTTTTTGCTGTTGTCAAGTTGTCGCTGTTGTCACTGTTGACACTGTTGTTGCAGTTGTCACTGCGTGCCTGTTGACACCGTTGTCACTGTTGTCGCTGTTCTCACTGTTGCCTAAGTTGTCACGGTCGTCACTGTTGTAACTGTTGTCGCCGTTGTCACTGTTGTCACAGTTGTCACTGTTGTCACCGTTGCCACTGTTGTCACCGTTGTCGCTGTTGTCAGTGTTGTCGCTGTTGTCGCTGCTTTCACGGATGTCACTGTTTTCACTATTGTTGCTGTTGTAACCATTGTCGCTGTGGTCACTCTTGTCACTGTGGTCACTGTTTTAACTGTTCTCACCGTTGTCGCTGTTGTCACGGTTGTCACTGTTGTCACTGTTGTTGTTGAAACCGTTGTCGTTCTAAACACCTTTATTGCTGTTGTCACCATTGTCACTGCTGTCCCTGTTTTCACTGTTGTCACCCTTGTCACTGTTATCGCCGCTCTGACTGTTGTAGCTGTTGTCACAGTTGTTGTTGTCACAGGTGCCGTTGTTGTCACTGTTGACACTGTTCTTGCTGTTGTCAATGTTGTCGCTGTGGTCACTGTTGTCACTGTTGTCACCATTGTCAATGTTGTCACTGTTGTCGCTGTTGTCACTGTTCTTGATCTTGACACCATTCTCACCGTTGTCGCTGTTTTTACTGTTTTTGCTGTTGTCTCGGTTGTCACTGTTGTCACTATTGTTGCTGTTGTCACCGTTGTCGCTGTTCCTACTTTTATTGCTGTTTTCAAAGTTGTCACTGTTGTCACTCTTGTCACACTTCCAAAAAGTTGCAACCGTTGTCGTTGTTTACACTTTTATTGCTGTTGTCACCGTTGTCAGTATTGTCACTGTTGTCAATTTTGTCACTCTTGTCATTGTTGTTGCCATTGTGGCCGTTGTCGCTGTTGTCACAGTTGTTGCTTTTGTCACAGTTGTCGTTGTTGTCACTGTTGACACTATTGTCGCAGTTGTCACTGTTGTCGCTGTTAAAACCGTTGTCAGTATTGTCGCTGTTGTCACTGTTGTCACGGTTGTCACGGTTGTCACAGTTGTTGCTGTTGTCACTTTTGACACTGTTGTCATTGTTGTCGCTCTTGTCAGAGTTGTCGCAGTTTTTGCTGTTGTCACCGTTGTCACTATTGTCACTGCTGTCGCTGTTGTCACTGTTGTCGATGTTGTCACAGTTGTCACTGTTTTCACTTTTTACGCTGTTGTCTCGGTTGTCAGTGTTGTCTCTATTGTTGCTGTTGTAACCGTTGTCGCTTTTGCCACTTTTATTCCTGGTGTCACAGTTGTCGCTGTTGTCACCGTTGTCACTGTTGACGCTATTGTCACCGTTGTCACTGTTGTCACTTTTGTTGCTTTTCTCAGCGTTGCTGCTGTGTCACTATTCTTGCTTTAGTCACTGTTGTCGCTGTTGTGGCCGATGTCACCGTTGTGACTATTGGCGCCGTTGTCGCCTATGTCACTGTTGTCACCGTTGTAGCTACCTTCACTGTTGTCATGGTTGTCATTGTTGTCACTGGCGTCACCGTTCTCGCTGTTGTCACGGTTGTCACTGTTGTTGTTGTTGTTGAAACTGTTGTCGTTATGGACACTTTTATTGCTGTTGTCACCGTTGTCACTGTTGTCGCTGTTGTCACTGTTGTCACTGTTGTCACCGTTGTCACTATTGTCACCGNTCACGGTTGTCACGGTTGTCACAGTTGTTGCTGTTGTCACTTTTGACACTGTTGTCATTGTTGTCGCTCTTGTCAGAGTTGTCGCAGTTTTTGCTGTTGTCACCGTTGTCACTATTGTCACTGCTGTCGCTGTTGTCACTGTTGTCGATGTTGTCACAGTTGTCACTGTTTTCACTTTTTACGCTGTTGTCTCGGTTGTCAGTGTTGTCTCTATTGTTGCTGTTGTAACCGTTGTCGCTTTTGCCACTTTTATTCCTGGTGTCACAGTTGTCGCTGTTGTCACCGTTGTCACTGTTGACGCTATTGTCACCGTTGTCACTGTTGTCACTTTTGTTGCTTTTCTCAGCGTTGCTGCTGTGTCACTATTCTTGCTTTAGTCACTGTTGTCGCTGTTGTGGCCGATGTCACCGTTGTGACTATTGGCGCCGTTGTCGCCTATGTCACTGTTGTCACCGTTGTAGCTACCTTCACTGTTGTCATGGTTGTCATTGTTGTCACTGGCGTCACCGTTCTCGCTGTTGTCACGGTTGTCACTGTTGTTGTTGTTGTTGAAACTGTTGTCGTTATGGACACTTTTATTGCTGTTGTCACCGTTGTCACTGTTGTCGCTGTTGTCACTGTTGTCACTGTTGTCACCGTTGTCACTATTGTCACCGTTGTCACTGTTGTCGCTGTTGGCACTGATGTCGCTCTTGTCACATTTGTCACAGTTGTTGTTGTTTTCACAGGTGTCGTTGTTGTTAGTGTTGACAGTTGTCGCAGTCGTCACTTTTGTCACTGTTCACACCGCTGTCACTGTTGTCGCTGTTGTCACTGTTGTCACCATTGTCACTGTTGTCGCCATTGTCACTGTTGTCCTTGTTTTTTCTCTTGTAACAGTTGTCCGTGTTGTTGCTGTTGTCACCGTTGTCACTGTTGTTACTGTTATCGCTGTTGTAACTGTTGTGGATGTTGTCACTGTTGTCACCGTTGTCGCCTTGTCACTGCATGTTTTCGCTGTTGTCTTGGTTGTCACTGTCGTCACAATTGTTGCTGTTTTAACCGTTGTCACTGTTGTCAATGTTGTCACTGTTGTCACCTTTGTCGCAGTTGTCACTGTTGTCACTATTGTTGCTGTTGTAACCATTGTCTTTGTGCTCACTGTTCTCACCGTTGTCGCTGTTTTCCCTGTTGTAGCTGTTGTCATGGTTGTCACTGTTGTCACTATTGTTGTTGTTGTAACCGTTGTCTTTTTTAACCATTTTTTTGGCTGTTGTCACCGTTGTCACTGCTGTCACAGTTGTTGCCATTGTCACTGTTGTCGCTGCTGTCACAGGTGTTACAGTTGTCGTTGTTGTCACTGTTGTCACGGTTGTCACTCTTGTCACTCTTGTCGCCGTTGTCACCGTTCTCACTTTTGTCCTTGTTGTCGCTCTTATAACAGTTGTCACAGTTGTTGCTGTATTCACCGTTGTCCCTGTTGTCTCTGTTGGCGCTGTTGTCACTGTTGTGGATGTTGTCACCGTTGTCACCGTTGTCCCCTTGTCACTATTGTCGCTGTTGCAACCGTTGCCACGGTTGTCACCGTTGTCACCGTTGTCGCTGTTTTCACAGTTGTAGCTGTTGTCACAGTTGTAACTGTTGTCACTATTGTTTTTGTTTTAATCGTTGTTGTTTTAAACACTGTTTTTGCTGTTGTCACCGTTGTCACGTTGTCACCATTATTGCCATTGTCTCTTTTGTCGCTGCTGTCAAAGTTGTTGCTGTTGTCACAGTTGTCGTTGCTGTCACTGTTGACACTGTTGTCACAGTTGTCACTGTTGTCGCTGTTGTCACCGTTGTCACTGTTGTCGCTGTTGTGACGGTTTTCAAAGTTCTCACTGTTGTCACTGTTGTCGCCATTGTTACTGTTGTCATTGTTGTCGCTCATGTAACAGTTGTCACCGTTAGTTCTGTTGTAACTGTTGTCACTGTTGACACTGTTGTCCCAGTTCTCACTGTGGTCACTGTTGTCACTGTCCTTAGCGTTGTCGCTGTTTTCACTGTTGTCACTGTTGTCACAGTTGTCAAAGTTGTTGCTGTTGTCACCGTTGTCACTGCTGTCACCGTTGTCAATGTTGTCGCTGTTGTCACTTTTGTCACTGTTGTTACCGTTGTTTTCATTGTCGCCGTTGTCGTTGTTGTCACAGTTGTTGCTGTGGTCAAAGTTTTCGTTGTTGTCACTGTTGACACTGTCGTCGCAGTTGTCACGGTTGTCGCTGTTGTAACTGTTGTCGCTGTTGTCACTGTTTTTACAGTTGTCGCTCTTGTCACAGTTGTCACAGTTGTTGCTGTTGTAACCGTTGTCGCTGTTATCACTGTTGACACTGTTGTCGCAGTTGTCACTGTGGTCACTGTTGTCACTGTTGTCACCGTTGTCGCTGTTTTTACCGAGGTCGCTGTTGTCACAGTTGTCAGTATTGTCACTATTGTTGCTGTTGTAACCGTTGCCGTTGTTAACACTTTTATTGCTGTTGTCACTGTTGTCACTGTGTTCGCCCTTGTCACTGTTGTCGCTGTTGTCACAGTTGTTGCTGTTGTCAAGTTGTCGTTGTTGTCACTGTTGACACTGTTGTTGCAGTTGTCACTGCGTGCCTGTTGACACCGTTGTCACTGTTGTCGCTGTTCTCACTGTTGCCTCGGTTGTCACGGTCGTCACTGTTGTATCTGTTGTCGCCGTTGTCACTGTTGTCACAGTTGTCACTGTTGTCACCGTTGCCACTGTTGTCACCGTTGTTGCTGTTGTCAATGTTGTCGCTGTTGTTGCTGTTGTCGCTGCTATCACGGATATCACTGTTTTCACTATTGTTGCTGTTGTAACCATTGTCGCTGTGGTCACTCTTGTCACTGTGGTTACTGTTTTCACTGTTCTCACCATTGTCGCTGTTGTCACGGTTGTTACTGTTGTCACTGTTGTTGTTGTTGAAACCGTTGTCGTTGTTAACACTTTTAATGCTGTTGTCACCATTGTCACTGCTGTCCCTGTTGTCACTGTTGTCGCCGTTCTGACTGTTGTAGCTGTTGTCACAATTGTTGTTGTCACAGGTGCCGTTGTTGTCACTGTTGACACTGTTCTTGCTGTTGTCACTGTTGTCGTGTGGTCACTGTTGTCACTGTGGTCACTGTTGTCACTGTTGTCACCATTGTCGATGTTGTCACTGTTCTTGATGTTGACACCATTCTCACCGTTGTCGCTGTTTTCACTGTTTTTGCTGTTGTCTCAGTTGTCACTGTTGTCACTATTGTTGCTGCTGTCACCGTTGTCGCTGTTGCTACTTTTATTGCTGTTGTCAAAGTTGTCACTGTCGTCACCATTGTCACTGTTGTCGCTCTTGTCACAGTTCCAGTCACAGTTGTTGCTGTTTTCACCGTTGTCACTGCTGTCACCGTTGTCATTGTTACCGTTGTCATTGTTTTCGCTGTTATCACTGTTGTCAATGTTGTCACGATTGTCACTGTTGTCGCCTTGAACCGATTGTTACTGTTGTCGCCGTTGCTGGTGTTGTCCTTGTTGTCGCTCTTGTAACAGTTGTCACAGTTGTTGCTGTTGTCACCGTTGTCTCGGTTTTCACTGTTGTCACTATTGTTGCTGTTGTAACCGAAGTCGCTGTTGACACTGTTGACACTGTTGTCGCAGTTGTCACTGTGGTCACTGTTGACACCGTTGTCGACGTTTTCACTGTTGTGGCTGTTGTCACGGTGGTCATTGTTGTCACAGTTCTTGCCGTTGTCACTGTTGTCAATGTTGTCGCTCTTGTCACAGTTGTCACTGTTGTCACTGCTGTCACCGTTGTCACTGTTGTCACCGTTCTCACCTTTGTCACTGTTGTCAATGTTGTCACTGTTGTCAACGTTGTCGCTATTGTCACTGTTGTCACTATTGTTGCTTTTCTAACTGTTGTCTCTGTTCTCACGGTTGTCACCATTGTCGCTTTTTTCACTGTTCTACCTGCTGTCACGGTTGTCACTGTTGTCACTATTGTTATTGTTGTAACTGTTGTCGTTAGTAACACTTTTTTTGCTGTTGTCATCGTTGTCACTGTTGTCATAGTTGTTGCCATTGTCACTGTTGTCGCAGCCGTCACAGTTGTCACAGTTGTTGCTGTTGTCACAGTTGTCGTTGTTGTCACTGTTGTCGCCGTTGTCGCTGTTGTCACAGTTGTCGTTGTTGTCACTTTTGACACTGTTGTTGCAGTTGTCACTGTTGTCACTGTTGAAACCGTTGTCACTGTAGTCGCTGTTGTCACTGCTGCCACGGTTGTCACTGTTGTCACTGTTCTGCCCCTTGTGACGGTTCTTACTGCTGTCGCCGTTGTCGCCGTTGTCGCTGTTGTCACCGTTGTCACTATTGTCACTGCTATCGCTGTTGTCACTGTTGTCAATGTTGTTACCGTTGTCGCTTTTTTTGCTGTTGTCTCAGTTGTCACTGTTGTCACTATTGTTGCTGTTGTCGCTGTTGTCACCGTTGTAAATGTTGTCACTGTTGTTGCTGTTGTCAGCGTTGACGCTGTTGTCGCTATTCTTGCTATAGTCCCGGTTGTCGCTGTTGTGGAAGTTGTCACCGTTGTGACTATTGGCGCTGTTGTCGCTTATGTCATTAGTGTTACCGTTGTCACTGTTGTCACCATTGTCGCTATAGTCACAGTTGTCACGGTTGTCCCTCCTGTCACTGTTGTCGCCGTTGTCTTTGTTGTCACTGTTGTCACAGTTCTCACTGTTGTCACAGTTGTCGCTGTTGTAACTGTTGATGCCGTTGTTACTGTTGTCACAGTTGTCACAGTTGTTGCTGTTGTCACCGTTGTCCCTGTTGTCATCGTTGTCACTGTTGTCACCGTTCTCACCGTTGTCGCTGTTGTCACCATTGTCACCATTGTTACCGTTGTCACTGTTCACTGTTGTCACAGTTGTTGCTGTTGTCACCGTTGTCGCTTTTGTCACCGTTGTCACTATTGTCACTGCTGTCGCTGTTGTCACTGTTGTCGCTGTTGTCACCGTTGTCGCTGTTGTCACTGTTGTTGCTGTTGTCACTGTTGTCCCTGTTGTCCCTATTGTCCCTGTTATCACTGTTGTCGCTCTTGTCACAGTTGTCGCTGTTGTCACCGTTGCCACTGTTGTTGCTGTTGTCACTTTTGTCAAGTTGTTGCTGTATTCACCGTTGTCACTGCTGTCACCGCTGTCACCGTTGTCATTGTTCTCACCGTTCTCACTGCTGTCGCCGTTGTCGCTGTTGTCACTGTTGTCAATGTTATCACTGTTGTCACCATTGTCGCTGTTGTCACTGTGGTCACTGTTGTCACCGTTGTTGCCATTGTCGCCGTTGTCGCTCTTGTCACAGTTGTTCCTGTTGTCACAGTTGTCGTTGATGTCACTGTCGACACTGTTGTCGCAGTTGTTACTGTTGTCGCTGTTGAAACCGTTGTCACTGTTGTCGCTGTTGTCACGGTTGTCACAGTTTTTCCTGTTGTCAATATTGTAACTGTTGTCACTGTTGTCGCTCTTGTCACAGTAATGTCACAGTTGTTGCTGTTGTCACTGTTGTCGCTGTTGTCACTATTGTCACTGCTGTCGCTGTGGTCACTGTTGTCGATGTTGTCACTGTTGTCGCTGTTGTCACTGTTGTCGCTTTTGTCAGCGTTGATGCTGTTGTCACTATTTTTGCTTTAGTCACTGTTGTTGCTGTTGTGGCCGTTGTTACCTTGTGACTCTTGGGGCCGTTGTCACTTATGTCACAGTTGTCACCGTTATCGCTACAGTCACTGTTGTCACGGTTGTCACGTTGTTGCCGTTGTCACTGTTGTCACTGTTGTCACGGTTGTCACGGTTGTTGCTGTTGTCACTGTTTTCGCCGTTGTCACTGTTGTCACAGTTGTTGCTGTTGTCACTGTTGTCCCTGTTGTCACCGTTGTCACTGTTTTCATAGTTGTCACCGTTGTCGTTGTTGTCACCGTTGTCACCGTTGTGACTGGTTTCACTGCTCTCACTGTTGTCACTATTGTTGCTGTTGTCACCGTTGTCCCTGTTGTCACCGTTGTCACTGTTGTCATCGTTCTCACTGTTGTCACTGTTGTCGCCGTTGTCACTGTTGTCGCTGTTGTCACAGTTCTTGTTGTTGTCACAGGTGTCGTTGTTGTCACTGTTGACACTGTTGTTGCAGTTGTCACTGTTGTCGCTGTTAACACCGTTGTCACTGTTGCCGCTGTTGTCACTGTTGTTACGGTTGTCACGCTGGTCATTGTTGTCACTGTTCTCTCTGTTGTCATCCTTGTCACTCTTGTCGCTCTTGTCACAGTTGTCACTGTTGTTGCTGTTGTCACCCTTGTCACTGCTTTCACTGTGTCGATGTTGTCACCGTTCTCACGGTTGTCACTGTTGTCAATGTTGTCGCTGTTGTCACTGTATTCGCTATTGTCACTGTTGTCGCTGATGTCACTGTTGTCGATGTAGTCACCGTTGTCACTGTTGTCAATGTTGTCGCTGTCTTCACAGTTGTCACTGTTGTCACTATTGTTGCTGCTGTCACCGGTTTCGCTGTTTGACACTGTTGTCGCAGTTGTCACTGTGGTCGCCGTTGTCACCGTTATCACCGTTATCACCGTTGTCACTGTTATCACCGTTTTCACTGTTGTCACCGTTTTGACTGTTGTCGGTGTTGTAACCGTTGTCACTGTTTTCACCGTTGTTACTGTTGTCATTGCTGTTGCTGTTGTCATGGTTGTGACTGTTGTCGCTTTTGTCACTGTTGTTGCTCTTGTCACTATTTTTGTTTTTGTCACTCTTTCTTCTGTTGTCACCATTGTCCATGTTGTCACTGTTTTCACTGTTGTCACGGTTGTCAATGTTGTCACCATTGTCGCTGTTGTCTCTTGTGTTACTGTTCTCGGCGTTGTCACAGTTGTCACAGTTGTCACTGTTGTCGCTGTTATGACTGTTGTTGTGTTTGTCACAGTTGTCACTGATGCACTGTTGTCACGGTTGCCACTGTTGTCGCTATTGTCACCGTTGTCAGTGTTTTTGCTGTTGTCACTATTTTTGCTGTTGTGACCGTTGTCCCTGTTGTCACTGTTGTTATTGTTGTCACCGTTGTTGCAGTTGTCACCATTGTCGCTGTTGTCACCGTTGTCACTTTTGTCACCATTGTCGCTGTTGTCACCGTTGTTACTGTTGTCCCAGTTGTCACTGTTGTCACTGTTGTCACAGTTGTCACAGTTGTCACGAATGTCACCGTTGTCGCTCTTGTCACTGTTGTCGCTGTTTTTACTTTTGTCACTGTTGTCGCTGTTGTCACTGTTGTCGCTCATATCACTATTTTTGCTGTTGTCACTGTTGTCCCTGTCGTCATGGTTGTCACCATTGTCGCTGTTGTCACTGTTGTCACTATTGTTGCTGTTGTTACCGTTTTCGCTGTTGTCACGGTTGTCACTGTTGTCGCTGTTGTCAATGATGTCGGTGTTGTCACTATTGTTGCTAATGTCACCATTGTCACTGTTGTCACTGTTGTCACCGGTTTCACTGTTGTTACCATTGTCACTGTTGTCACTATTAGTGCTTTTATCACATTTGGCACTGTGGTCGCTGTTGTCACCGTTCTCACTGTTGTCACCATTGTTGGTGTTCTCATTGTTGTCCCTGTTGTCGCCGTTATTACTGTTTTTTGCTGTTGTCACCGTTGTCACTGTTGTTACCATTGTCGCTGTTGTCACCGTTGTCCGTGTTGTCACTGTTGTCACCGTTATTGCCGTTGTCACTGTTGCCACTGTTGTTATCGTTGTTGCTTTTGTCACTGTTTTCGCTTTTGTTACGGTTGTCACTGTTGTCACTGTTGTCGCTGTTGTCACCATTGTCGCTGTTGTCACAGTTGTTACTGTTGTCGCTGTTGTCACTGTTGTCACCATTGTCGNGTCGCTGTTAAAACCGTTGTCACTGTAGTCGCTGTTGTCACGGTTGTCAATGTTTTCACTATTGTTGCTGTTGTAACCATTCTCGCTGTTGTCACTGTTGTCACTGTTGTGACCGTTGTCACCGTTGTCGCTGTTGTCACGGTTGTCACTGTTGTCACTGTTATTGTTGTTGAAACCGTTGTCGTGTTATCACTTTTATTGCTGTTGTCACCATTGTCAGTGTTGTCACAGTTGTCAGTGTTGTCACCGTTCTTACTGTTGTTACCGTTCTCACCGTTGTCGCTGTTGTCATTGTTGTCACTGTTGTCGATGTTGTCGCTGCTGTCACTGTTGTTGCTGTTCTCACGAGGTTTACTGTTTTCACTATTGTTGCTGTTGTAACCATTGTTGCTGTGGTCACTGTTGTCACTGTTGTCACCGTTGTCGCTGTTGTCACGGTTGTCACTGTTGTTGTTGTTGAAACCATTGTCGTTTTAAACACTTTTATTGTTGTTGTCACCATTGCCACTGTTGTCGCTGTTGTAACTGTTGTCACCGTTATCACTGTTGTCACCGTTTTCGCTGTTGTGACCGTTGTCGCTGTCACTGTTGTTGCTGTTTTAACTATTGTTGCTGTTGTCACTGCTGTCACCGTTGTCGCTGTTGTCACTATTATTACTGTTGTTATCGTTGTCGCTGTTGTCATTGTTGTAAGTGTTGTCACAGTTGTCACTGTTGTCGCTTTTGTCGCTGTTGTCACCGTTGTCACCATTCGCACTGCTGTCGCTGTTGTCAGCATTGTCGCTGGTGTCGGCTATTTCACTGTTGTCACTGTTGTCGCTGTTGTCACCATCGTTACGGTTGTTACTGTTGTCACCGTTGTCACTTATCAGCATTGTCACTTTTGTCAGTGTTGTCACAGTTGTCAGTGTGTCACTTTTGTCACTTTTGTCAATTTTATCACGGTTGTCTCTGTTCTCAAGAACGGCACTTTATAGCACTTTTAGGATCTCAAAAGTTAATCTGAACTTTCAGTCATTTCTAATACCTCATTGAGTTTCGGAAGTCTGAAGTCTGGGTTGAAATCTATCAAAAATTGTTCTGAGATGTCAAGAGCGTAAGGATATGTTGCGCAAACATTTTGTGGTTGCAGCCTAGTAAGATTAAAAGAAAGAGAACAAGGGTGAGCTTGAAAAGAACACTTTTGTAAACGAAAGTGTGCGAGCTTTCGCACTCAGCGTACCAAACCCTGATGGTCACTGCGCTTCATGTTGTGTTCAAAGGAATTATAAGTTTGATAGGATAATTTAAAGGTATAATTTGAACTCTATCGAGCAACAGCGTGATAACTTTTGATAAGATGGTAGTCTCCTGAACTGCTAACTACCTATATATAATTTGAGAATGGATCATTTCCCTGCTCCAAATCGTGTGCTTTAGACGGATACACTACTTTCTGCTAGTTTGCTGTGAGCTGATATCATTTCACACTCATGGACGTCATTTAATATATTTTAAATCAAGTATCAGCTCTCGCCCAAGAATTGTTGAAGTCATAACAATGTGGAAAAAATTTTTACCGCAAATGACACAGTGTCCATCCGCATATACTTTCTGTAACTCTCTTCATCCTCTAGCCTCAACTCCACCATCAAGTGTCTAAATGCACCTTTTCCCCCTCTTTTTTGTAGCCAATCCCGTTCCCATACCTGCCAACCTCCGGAGATTTAAAATCTGGAGACTCTCTATCTTGCACTACACCCCCCCCCCACCCCCGAATGTCAACAGCACCAACACCCCCACTCCCCCCCCCCCC